TAAGGACACCAGCTTGGCCTCTGAGTGAGAAGGAAAGCCTCTGGAAGCTTTTGAGCGGAGACGTGCCAAGATCTGACTTAGGTTTGAAAGGCTCACTCTGGTTGCTGCACTAAGAGTAGATTCTAGGAGGCAAGGGTAAAAGCGGGGAAATCGGTTAGAAGGCCATTGTAGCAACGTGGCCTAGAGATGATGGTGGTTCCCGCCAGGTGGTAGCCAGTGCAGAGTGTTGAATTCTGGAGATATTTTGATGGCAGAGTGAACAGAATGAATGTGGAGCCCGAGAGTGCTGAGCGTGAATCTTGAGTTTTTTGGAGTTGCCATCTTTGATAGGGGGAAGGCTGCTGGAATGGTGGTCTTGATGGAGAAGATCAGAAGTTCAGGTTGGGTGGGTGAAATTTGAGATGTCTGTTCAACCTCCAGGAGATCTGCAAATTTCTGATTCCCATGTCAAGGCAGCAGAGTATATTTTATTCAGCATTTTACTTATTCCCATGGGGAGCGTTAATCAGGGCTTCCATTCTGCCCTAATACCAGAAATGAGGTGTGCCTTTGACTTCTTTCACCTGTCCCTTATATAATCCCTACCTTCTCTTTTACTAACCTTTGCTACTGTTCTCTAAACCTTCTCCAGCACCCTTTTTAAATATAAAACAAAACTGGAGTCAGTACTCCAATAAATTTCTAGACTTTAACAAAGACAGCAAGAAGACTCATGGGAATTTCCACACATGACGTCTCTAGAATACTGACACTATCTTTTAAAGCAAAGAATCCTGTGAAGTAGTAAAAAGTATGAGGCATTTTACAGAGTATTTCCTATTTTTACCACATGAATCATTACAATATTATTGACTATACTCCCTAGGTTGTACTTTTTAACCCTTTCAAGTGACTTACTTATTTTATAACTGGAAATTTGTACCTCTTAATCCCCTTTACCTATTTTGTCTACACCCCCCCCCCCAGGTACCTCCCCTCTGGAAACCACCAGTTTGTTCTCTGTACTTAGTCTGCTTCTGGTTTTGTTTGTTGTCTTTGTGTTCATTTGTTTTCTTTTTTTTTTTTTAAAGATTTTATTTATTTATTTGAGACAGAGAGAATGAGAGACAGAGAGCATGAGAGGGAGGAGAGTCAGAGGGAGAAGCAGACTCCCTGCCGAGCAGGGAGCCCAATGCAGGACTTGATCCCGGGACTCCAGGATCATGACCTGAGCCGAAGGCAGTCGCTTAACCAACTGAGCCACCCAGGCGCCCTCATTTGTTTTCTTTTACAGGATGTTTCTTTACAAAGGTGAAAGATTCTAAAGGAGGTGCCTCAGGCTCAGCATGACAATATCGGAACTGTAATACCATATTCTGCTGTATTGTGCCTCCATCTTGAAGGTCTTGATTTTGATCTTATTTCTCAGCCTCTGAAGAGGCCACAAACATGCAACTATGTTAGGAAACCAATACACCATTCCTGTGGTAGCCCTAAAGGCATTTTAACTTCATAAATTTGGTCCTGAAGAATGATAAAGGAACCACACTAAGGAAAAATTGGGAAGTTCTTTTTTTTTCTTTTTTAATTTATTTTAGGTAGGCTCCACACCCAACATGGGGCTTGAACTCATGACCCTGAGATCATGAGTCACATGCTCTAACAACTGAGCCAGCCAGGCATCCCTAAACATTTTATTTTTAAGCCATCTCTACACCCAATGTGGGGCTCGAACCCACAACCCCGAGATCAAGAGTCACACGCTCCACCAACCCAGCCAGCCAGGTGCCCCAAAAAATTGGGAAGTTCTGAACTCATCGGAGATCTCTCTGAATGGCTGCCAAGTACAATACCAAACTTAACATTTTGGTACTTAAAGATCCAGAGTAACTCTTAGGGCATCCCATCCCCAAATTATCCTAAGTGACGATGCTCTTAGAAGCAATTCTAACAGGGATGCCTGGGTGGCTCAGTCAGTTGAGCGACTGCCTTCAGCTTGGGTCAGGATCCTGGAGTTCTGAGATTGAGCCCCACGTCGGGCTCCCTGCTCAGCGGGGAGCCTGCTTCTCCCTCTGCCCTTCCCTCTGCTCATTCTCTCTCTCTCAAATAAATAAAATCTTAAAAAATAAATTTTTTAAAAAAGGATACCCATTTAAAGAAAAAAGAAGCAATTCTAACAATATTCAATTCAGTTTCTTATGAAATACCATTTCTGTCCCTTTTTTGCAAAGCCCTTTTTTTCTTCTATTCATTTGAAATCTTATGAATGTTAAGTCCTAGTTTGTAAGCATTGCAAAGTGCATTTCAAAGTTCCTTCCTCATATACCTAAGGAGTTACAGTATCATGTTCAATACACAATAGTTCCTGTATGGGGCTGACATATATAAATGATGCAGCGTGAAAAGTCAGTCTGGGACAATAATGCAGCAGGGGACAGGCATGCTGGAATTCTCATTTCCCTTATATCAAGAAACCTGTTCCTAACTGAGAATCTGCAACATGACTGATGCTCCTATTTTAATAACCAAAAGGTTTTAGAGATAAGAGACATGGGGCTAAGGAATAACTTAATAACTATCTCCAAAGTGAAGGAATAGTTTTCAGAAAATGACAGGAGAATTGCATCTAATAAGGTCAGACATGCAGGTTACGCAATCCTTCTTTTGCACTCCAACACACTGTCTTCAACTAGAACCTGAAGCCGCAAGGGAGCTTCGAGTACATTTCGATTGTATCTTCACTGCCCAGGTGGGCACACTGAGATGTAAAGTGCTAACAGGACTTACCCAAGGTAAGACAGTGTGTCAGAGAGTACAGGGGCCAGAATCCCAGGGTCCTCGCTTCCAGACCAACAGCCTCCCAGTGGGCTACATCTGAGGAAGCCCTCAGAAATTCTCCAGATACAATCAATCTGGATTTACATTAATTTCAAGCCAGCAAGCAAGCACACACCACAGGGCAACACTTCCGTACCATCCCCTAGGGGGGATGCTTGCAGAAAGGTAGATTTGGATTCAGTGGGTCTGGACAGGGCCTGAGATTCTGCATTTCTATCAAGCTCCCTGGTGACTCTGAGGCTGCTGGGCCATGGACCACACTTTGAGTAGCAAGGCTGGAGAGCACTCTTAGAGCTGAGCCGAGTGAAAAGGGACCTATGGTACATCCCTGTACATCTGAAAAGGTAGGAAGCGAATGACAGGAGGAGCAGGGCGTGGTAATACTGAGAGAGCTGGTACAATATTCTAGTTCAGATGTTGGTTGGCTCTACCATGTCCATTCATATTGCCTTGCTCACGCCCGCTTCTATGATGCAGCCTGGAAATGTTAAATACTTGCTTTCCCAGGCTCCCTAGCAGCTAAGGATAGCTATGCGTGCCAACTCTGGCCAAGGAGACTTGTGAATGTCTGCCGGGGTCTTCTCGTAAAGGAAAAGCTTTGTTGCAGCTAAAACTGGGGCCGCCTCACCAAGAGCCAGACTCTTAACTCTAGAGAATAAACAGATGGTTCCCAGAGGGGAAGTGGGCGGGGGGGGGGGGGCGGAGGAGTGAAACAGGGGATGGGGATTAAGGAGCACACTTGTCGGGATGAGCACCGGGCAGCGTAGGGAAGTGTTGAATCACTCTATTGTACACCAGAAACGAACAGTACACTGCATGTTAACTACCTGGAATTTAAATACAAACTTAAAAGGAAAACTGGGGCTGCCTCTTCATGCTCTTTCCTGTCCTAAATGAGGACTCGATGCCTAGAGTTGCAGTAGCCATCTGGTTACCACTAGGCAATAAGCCAACATGCAAAGAATGGCTGAGCAGGAGAGACAAGAAGAGCCCAAGGCCTTGACAACAAAGCTGAGCGCCCGCACCAGCCTGGAATCCCTGCTAGCAGACTTCTTACGCAAAATAACCGAATGTTTGTATTGCTCAAGCCCTTGTAATGAGCACTGCCTAAGCCATTTTGCTGTAAGTCTGATACATCTTCTAATTAGACAGATGCTTCCTCTCTTGCCAGTCACTGCAACTGTCTGGTTTTGTCCTGTTGGTCCCCAGCCTTTAAAACACTCTATTTGTGTGCTCAAGAAAAGGCTCTCATTCATGACCTAACTGCCAAACACAAGGGCCTCTTTGCAGCCCGCATCCTATGTCACATGCCCTTGGCGTCTGGCTCTGTGCATCCTCCCTTCCTCTTTCATCCACGGATTTGCAGGGCACTGCTCTGCCCCTGCTGCTTCTCTCTGACTCCTCTGCCGCTGCCCCCATTAAAGCTGCGTGCTCCCCAAACTTCCATGTTTGGCCCTCTCCTCCCGCCCCTCCCCCATGTCGGCCGCCTGTGCACTTTCATCAGCTCCCACCGGCTTGACCACCTGCAACCGTGTCCTTGAATAACAGTAAACCATAGTTAGCGTGCATTTTTCTAGAAGGGTGATGTTAGCCCAAGTATAAAAAGAACTGAGCTTCCTCCTCGTGTCTAGCGGGCCTTACCTGAGCGAAGAGCGTCTCTGGCAGCAGCATTCTTCTTAGGGAACAAGGACCAAGGACAACGTTACACAAAAATATGCTACCTTTGCTGCTGCTTTACTGTAGCCACACGTCTTTGAAGTTGTGCATCCTTGGAAAAATCACCAAGGACCCTATACTCTGTGTGTGAGCGCACGTGTGTGCGCGTGCGCGCATGCGCATGCAGGCGCACACGGTGTTGGGGGTGTATAGTCCCTTCAAGTCCAGCCAAACTGTACCCCATCTGAGACACTACATACTCTCTTTAGGTCTCCAGTACGGAAATTACGACAGTGCATTGAAGTTATTTGTTCATGTTTGTTTGCATCACTAGAATACAAGCTACTGAAGGTCAGTGGTGGTCACTCTTTGCAAGTGCTTGTTGAAAAGCGTGGACCCTTATTTGTTGGAGCAGTTTAGGGCTCTGGAGGATAAATGGCTTCACTGCACGAACCCCTGAGATGACCTCGAGCTCTGTGACTTCCAGTGTGAGTGAGATATTACATGTAAGTGTTAAAAGCACTTACCCTCACGGTGTATGTTCTTCCTCCAACTCTGTCCCGTGCTTCTAAAACCAAAACATTAACGTCATGTTCCGCTAAGAGTTTGGCAGCAGACAATCCTACAAGGAAAAAAACAAAAACAAAATCAAGAAACATATTAAGACCCAAACATGAAATAGCCAAGATTTAGCCAGATCTACCATAAAATGAATGCAGGGCATCATATGTAATCCATTGATTTTGCTATCTTTCTAATAAAGTCTGACCACACTGTGATCAATTGAGCCACCAATTTGATAATGTATTACATTATCAAATGTATTACATTATCGTAATTTTATCATCTCTCATAAGGTTGGTTGACAAAATGTAATTATTTTTAAAATACATGTATTTTGGGGGATAATGAAATCCTATTTAAGAGAATGTGTTGAACCCCTAAACCAACCCTTATTGTGCCCTTCTTCCAGAAAACCTGACTGCATAAACAGAAGAGTATGTTTTCCTAGAAACTTCCCCTGGCTACACCAGCCCTCAGTATATCTGTGCTTTTCTCAACTTAAAAACCCCTTGTAGGGGCACCTAGGTGGCTCAGTTAAGCGTCTTACTCTTGACCTCAGCTCAGGTCTTGACTTCAGGGTTGTGGGCTCAAGCCCCATGTGGGGCTCCCCGTCAGTGTGGAGCCTACTTAAAACAAAACAAAACAAAACAAAACAAAACCCTTGTAATCACATCCTATGATTTATATCTGGATTACATGCTTGCTAGAGCTTGCTTTTACCACTAGATTCAAAGTTACCAAAGGTAGGAACCATGCATCACACTTTATTCATTGGCTCAAAGCTGAGAACAGGTTTTTTACATGTAAAGAAAAACCGTCATAAAAGATAGATTTAAAACCCAGTATAGTAATACCAGAAAAGTAGGGGAAGCGCTGTGGATTAACATTATATCAAGGATGCATGTGATCAACATGACTTGTCACTGATGTTAATCTTGATCATCTGTCTGAAGGGGTGTTTGCAGGTTTCTTCACTACAAAGCTACTACTCTCTCTTCTCCCTTTCCGTCCTGTATGCTATGGAAGGAAGTCTACACACAGCCCACACTTAAGGAGCACGGAGTTATGTTCCACTTCCTGAAGGATGAGGTATCTACATAAATTATTAGGAATCCTCCCACAAGGAGATTTCTCTCTTCTCCTGTTTATTTACTTATTCAATCATTTTATTTATATCAGTATGGATCCATAGATAGTTGTTTTATGCTTGGGGTTATAATCTGATATTACATTATTTTGTTGCTCAAATTGTTCCAGCTTTGGTGACTGGGAGATCTTTCAGTTGGCTCCTGTGCCCCTCTGACATGTCCCCCACGTCCCCATCATTTTTGGGGGGGGTATGTGCACGCACTTGGGTACTTCCTTACTTTCTGGTATTACAAGATGTTCCAGGCTCAGTTTGTCTTTCACTGCCCAACCCCAGAATCAGCCACATCTCCGATGAGCCTTGGTTCCTCTTATTGGAGAACAGTACTTTTTAAAAGATTTATTTATTTATTTATTAGAGACAGAGTCAGGCGGGGGGAAGAGGGACAAGCAGACCCACACTGAGTGCGGAGCCGGATGCAGGGCTCCATCTCAGGACCCTGAGATCACGACCTGAGAACTGAGCGGAAACTCTGAACCAACTGCACATCCAGGCAGCCCTGAAGGACGGTATTAGAAACCAAGATCTGGGCTCTAGGTGCACTCCTTGCTACTCGGGTGTCATTGCTTCTGGGATGTCTCAGCTCACAGAGTAAGGAAATATATGTGTGTACACATTTATTTTTAAATCTACATTTATTTGTACTTCCAGTGCTATCTTATACCTAGGCATATCATAATTGGGTATGTATAACAAAATTTATATATGCGTGATTAAGTTTATTGTAGGACTGTTCTAATGGCAAAAGTTCGGAAATTGTCAAAATGTTCACTAAGAGGAAACTTGGCAATGAAATAAAAGGTTCTGTACCATGTTACATATTATCTATTTTTAAAAAGGTAATAAAAGATAAATAAATTATTATGCGGCCATGAAAAGGATAACAGAGAGTCTTATATTTTGACATCTCGTGACATTTAAATAAATTCAAACCGTTACAAAAAGTGTGAACATCAAGTCGTTCCAGAAAGCAAGGAGGCTATCAGAGACTGCCAGGATTGTGACAAAAAGGCTCAGGAAACTAACTATAGAAACTCCCACTGGCCAAAGATGGAACAATTTCAGTATCAAATCAAAGTAACCACTGCAATGGCTTAAATCCATGAATTCATCATAATACTAAACCAATAAAAAACTCTCACTGGTTCTTTGGAGAATGCTAAGGAACCACCTTACCAGTTTGGAAATGCCTATAGGAAAAGAAAAGCATCTGGCATTCATCCTACCTCTCCGACTTGCAGGGAACCGCAAAGCAACCAAAGAGCTAACAAAGGGAGGTTTTGCTGCTCCCTAATCAGTGAAGACAAATAAAATTAGACTATCAGCATGTTGCAATGCCTAATCAATTGATGGATCTAGTGTAATAAGCATCAACATCTGCTAACATCACGCAAAGAAGAGAGAGAACCAGATGTTATCTGCCTCCTGATGGAAGAACACACCAGTCGTTAGGAAGGAAGGAAGGGGAGGGAGACAAGGAGCAAATACTAAATTCTAATGTGATCAAGCCTCTAGATCTTCTACTTAGGGGCCAGAGGAACATGTTTAAATAGTACTACTGGGATGCAATCAACAAAAGCCAGATTGTAGGAAATCATACAGGACTACCCTGGTTTTTGTTTGTTTGTTTGTAACGACTTGCCTGCTCCTGTTTTCTTCACCCTTTATCCGTCACAGGCTTTTCCTACAGTCAAGCTCTTACACGGCTAGTTCTGTCTAGCCCAGACCGACACAGCATTTTGTTCATATACAGAATCAAGGATGAATCTGGGTCTCGCAGATCTAGAATGCGGGGAGGCTAAACCATAATATCCAGCACTGCTATCGCTAATACTTGTACATAGTTTTGACTCCTCAAGTACAATGTAACCTTACATTGCTGACATTCATCAAAGATTTAGGTATGCAACGAATCTTTGGAATCTGCTCATAAAGAAAGCCTCCATCCCATGACATTTAAATAAATTCAAACCAATGTCTGCAAACCTTGGTGCAATGAGTTCTCTGGGACAGAGCCAAAGGCTTCTTCTGCTGAGGGTCATTAAAAAAGGGACGAAGTTGATATTAAAAACATACTTATGCACAAATCTTCTAATGTCAAAGTACCACTCTATATTTAAAAGCAAAGAAACTCAGATGCAAAAAGGTTACTTTCCTCCCAGTTCCCCTTAAGCAATCAATCTATAAACCAATTAGAAAAATACAGCCAAGGGCTTACTAGAATTAATCGGTAGCTCCTCTTCTTTTTTTTAAAGATTTTATTTATTTATTTGACAGAGAGAGACACAGCGAGAGAGGGAACACAAGCAGGGGGAGTGGCAGAGGGAGAAGCAGGCTTCCCGCCGAGCAGGGAGCCTGATGCGGGGCTCGATGCGGGGCTCGATGCGGGGCTCGATGCGGGGCTCGATCCCAGGACCTGGAATTATGACCTGAGCCGAAGGCAGATGCTTAACGACTGAGCCACCCAGGCTCCCCATTAGTAACTGCTCTTCTAAAGGAGAAAGTCACCCTCTGCATGCTGCCTACGGAGAAGCAGAGGTGGCTTTGACCTCCAGCAGCCTTGGGTCCTGCCTCGTCAGGCTCCTGGCTCCCGAGGCAGCCTAGCAGTTGCTTTGGGGCTACAGATACAGATCACGTTCATGTGCCTTTCCTGTTACCATCCCTTGGAGTCGATTTCATTATCCCCATATCCCAGATGAGAAAGCCAGGCACCCAGTATGACCACAACAAAGTCTCCAGAAAAGTGAATGATTTTACTTCTCACACCCTCACCTGGAGCTTGAGCAAAATCAAATCTAATGTATAACTCTAAGCAAGTTTGGTGAGTGGCGTTCAGTGCCAATAATGAATAAGCACTACTTGGGAAGCTAGAGGGGGTGGGGGGAGCAGGTCGAGCTGAGTCAGGACAATGACCACACCAGTGACAAAGGTCATTTTAGGATATAAACAAAATTAAAAAGCTGACCACAGGGTTGTTTCTGCATTCTGCACTGGCCTATCTCAGCAAGGAAAGTTTCAACTCTTAGTTTAAGAAATAAAGAAAATGTTTAAAACATTTTAAAAGGATTTCAGAAAAAAAAATGCTTTTACAAAGGTCTTGGGGACACCTGGGTGGCTCAGTCAGTTGGGCATCCGACTCTTGATTTGAGCTCAGGTCATGATCTTGGGGTCGTGAGATCGCACCCACGTGGGGCTCCATGCTCAGCATCTCACGCACACACGCTCTCTGTCTCTCTCAAATAAATAAGGAAAATCTTTAAAAAGGCCTTGGAATTTGAAGAGGGAAGATGTACGTTATTTAGAAGAAATATTTCTTCTACAACGCTGAATAAATGGGGTTCCGATGTTTCAGTTTGTGTGTTTATTGTGAACAAGACTCTGATAAGGAACTTCCACGATAATTGGAAAATTAGAAAATACCGAATATGGAAATAAAAGGTGCCATTTTTTAAAAAAGTTATTGAAAGATTTATTTATTTGAGAGAGAGAGAGCTCACACACAGGGGGTTGGAGCAGAGGGAGAAGGAGAGAGAATCTCTAGTAGACTCCCCCCTGAGCAGGGAGCCCACCAGATCGATGATCCCAAGACCCTGAGATCATGACCTGAGTGGAAATCAAGAGTCGGACGCTTAACCGACTGTTTATTTTTGAATAATAATAACTACTTTTGAATACTCAGTAAGTGGAAAATAAAGCACAGGCAAATACTTACAGTCCAGGAAAGTTTTTCTACTATAACTGCGGCTGTTGATTTGAATGAAGCAAATGAAGCCAACGCCTGCTTCAAGATATGAGTCTTAGATTACACTCCTTAACTCTTATTTTGTTCTTATTCTGTGTATCGCTATGCATTCTACTCTCCCCTCATCACAACAAAACTCAAGAATCATTCACAGAAAAAAACCATATCT